CCGCCACCTTAGGTGTACGTGGCTGGCGCCTTAGCCGGTTGAGCTATAGGCACCGAGCCATAGTTCACTGTTAACCTCAAACTTCTGGGCTTAAGCAATCCTCCTGCCTCAGCCCCACAAGAGGCTAAGAATACAGGCCCATACCATTGTTGTACCTGGCTGATTAAAAAAAAAAAATTTTTTTTTGGTACATACATAAAGAATCTAACTATGTTGCCCAGACTAGTCTCAAACTCCTGGCCTCAAGCAATCCCCACCACCACCTCAGCCTCCCAAAGTTTTGGGGTTACAGACGTGAGCCACCTCACCTAGCCAGTTCTTTTTGTAGCACATACACACACAATTTTAAAACATTAATTCATTCATCTTTGTAATAGCTGCGGCAAGTAATAAGGTAGTCATAAGGAAGACTCAGGTGAAATGTTATCAGTTAGATTAGGGTCTAGAATAGAATCATATTTTTCTCTTGTCTACCCTTCTTTGTAGAGGTTCTGAAAGTGAAGGATTCATATGATAAAGTGTGAATCAATAAATGGGAGATTTTTTTAAAAATAGAGTTTTATCAGATGTTTGCGGTGAGCTCACGAATATTAATTGACTCTTACAAAATATACTATAGTTGTGCATTAGTCTTTTCCAGCTCTTTGGATTTACAACATTTGTGCTTAATCGCACTTATTTATTTACTTATTTTTTGAGACAGACTCTCTGTCCCCCTGGTCCTAATGCCCTGGTGTCACAGCTTACAGTAACCTCAAACTCTTGGGCTTGAGTGATCCTCTTGCCTCAGCCTCCCGAGTAGCTACAGACATGAGCCTACAGACATGCACTACCATGTCTGGCTTTTTTCTATTTTTAGTAGATATGGGGTCTCACTCTTGCCCAGTCTGGTCTCGAACTCAGGAGCTCAAGCAATCCACCTCAGCCTCCCAGAATGCTAGGCTTACTCACATTTAAAAGTACATTTGATGGTGAGAATGTGAAGAAATCAGTACCACTGCAAACTGCAGGAATATAAAATGGTGTAGCTACTATGGAAAACCATATGGTGGTTCCTGAAAAAATAAAACACAGAATTACCATATGATCCATCAGTTCCACTTTTAGGTATTCATACAAAAGAATTCAAAGCGGGAACTTGAAGAGATAATTTGCATATGCATGTTTATAGCAGAATTATTCACAACAGCTAAAAGGTGGAAACAGTCCAAATGTCCATTAATTACAAGGATGAATGGATAAACAAAATGTGATATATACATACAATAGAATACTATTCAACCTTATAAAGCAAGGAACTTCTGTCACGTGCTACAACATGGATGAACCTCAAGGACTTTACACTGAGTGAAATAAGCCCGACATAAGAAGATAAATGCTATCTTCCACTTTTATGGGGTATCTTTACAGAAAAAGAAAGTAGAATGATAGTAATTGGGGGCTGAGGGGAGGTGGGGATAATGATCTTTACAGAAAAAGAAATTAGAATGATAGTGATTGGGAGGGTGAGGGGGGAAGTGGGGAGTTGTTGTTTAATAATAAGCATAGTTTCAATTTTGCGAAATGAAAAAGATGTGGAAGTCAATTCCACAACAATGTGATTATATTTAATACTTATGAACTGTACACTTAAATATAATTAAGTTTGTAAAGTTTGTGTTATTTTTTGGCTATAATTAAATTTGTTAAAAAGTGTATTAACTGTCTTTATACTTGTCTTTCTCCAGTGCAGTGGACTTCATTGGAAGATGCTATTTCACCAAAATCTGCAAATGTAAACTGAAGGACATCGCATGTTTAAAATGGTAATTTGTGGCAATATTCTAAATAGCCCTAGGTTTGGAAGATGGATGTTGACATCAAAGTACAGAGAAAGGTTCAGTGGCCTGCAATGAGCACTGGCATAACCCATGCAATGAGCCATTGAAAGGTTATATGTTTCTTAGAGCTGTTTTTTAAAAGGATCTTGTGATAGTTCACATTTGTATGTGATTTTACAATTTTTATGGTATATTTGCAAGTATCTGCTTTAATTTTCAGAACAAGGCAATGTAATTTCAGGGGGAAACACTTGGATTCACTCATAAAAATCAGCTTTGAGGCTTACCCCTACCTTGCTCTCTTTGCAGTCTTGAGTAAACTCCTTTTGCCTATGTGTCTAAACCTCTGAACCTCTGTTTTCTTATTTAATGTCCATCATATTAATAAATTATCTCAAAAAAATAGAAATTAAAATATTTTTTATATTTACCTTATAAAGTGATTGTGAAGGTCAAATGAATTACGAGTATTAAAAGGCTTCATAAAGTATAAATTATAATACAGATGACAGCTGTTACAATAACCTTTTGAGAGGTAAATGGATAAGTATTATTCTCATTTTAGGAAGAAAAAAGTTGAGATTTTTCTCATTCAAGTGGAGTTTGAACTATAAATTATAATCCTAATAATTTAAATCTGCAAATTCTTATTAGGTGCTAATGACTAGTTGGGTTCTTTCATTTGTTCATTCATTCAAGCTGTACTTACACTGAGAACCTACTATATGCTAATCATTTTTATAGGGATTGGAAACACAGCAACAAACAAGGTAAAGTCACTAGACTTTGAAAATTATATTCTAATGGAAAGATGATCAATCAATAAGATATTTAAATAAATAAGATACTTAATATGGCGGGAAATTCTCCTAAGGAAATAATAATGAATGATAGTGGATTATAGAAGTTGGGAAAGTAAGTGAGAGCTATTTCAGCTGTCATGGTCAGGGAAGCCTTCTTATGGAAAGTAAGAGGAAATAGCAAATGCAAAGAACCTGTGACAAGAAGATGTTCAAAGAATAAAAGACTGATAGCTGCTGTGTCTAAAATGTGAGCATGGAGGGAGAGTAGTTATGAGTAGTTAGAGATGAACCCAGGTAACCTAGAGTGGTGTTGTCCAATAGAAATATGCAAGCCATAATTCTCTTCCCTATCTTGACAATGGGGACCTATTTGCTATCTAAGGGGAACCTATCTTGCTCTGTAAGCCTATACCTCATTCTTACCCTGTAAACCTATCTTTCTCTCTCTCAGATTCTGTTTCATTCTTGCCTTAAAAAAAAAAAAAGAAAGAAAGAAAGAAAAGAAAAGAAATATGCATGCCAGGGCAGGGCCTGTGGCTCAAAGGAGTAGGGGGCCAGCCCCATATACCAGAGGTGGTGGGTTCAAACCCAGCCCTGGCCAAAAACTACAAAAAAAAAAAAGAAGAAGAAGAAGAAATATGCAAGCCACATATGTAATTTAAATTTTTCTTTCTTTCTTTTTTCTTTTTTCATTTTTTTTAAGACAGAGTCTCACTTGGTTACCCTTGGTAGAGTGACATGGCATTTTAGCTCACAGGCTCTTTGGGTTCAAGCAATTCTCTTGCCTCAGCCTCCCAAGTAGCTGGGACTACAGGCACCCGCCACAGTGCCTGGCTATTTTTTTTTAGAGATGGGGTCTCACTCTTGCTCACGTTGGTCTTGAACTCATGAGCTCAGGCAATCCACCCATGTCAGCCACCCAAGTGCTGGGATTATAGGTGTAAGCCACTACCCCTGGCTTAAATTTTTCTGATAACATTTTAAAAAGTAAAACAAGTAAAATTAATTGTATTTATTTATTTATTTTGAGACAGAGTCTCACTTGGTCATCCTTGATAGAGTGCCATGGCATCTTAGCTCACAGCAACCTCAAAACTCTTGAATTCAAATGATTTCTCTCATCTCAGCCTCCCAGGTAGCTGGGACTACAGGTGCCCATCACAACACCTGGCTATTTTTTAGAGACGGGGTCTTGCTCTTGCTCAGGTTGGTCTTGAACTCGTAAACTCAGGCAACCCACCCGCCCCAGCCTCCCAAGTGCTGCAATTACAGGTATGAGCCACCATGCCCAGCCCAGTATGATTAATTTTAATCATATATTTTATTTAATCCAATATATCTAAAATATTCTCATTTCAACATGCAACCAACATAAATTATTATTCTTTTCTTTTCTTTTCTTTTCTTTTTTTTTTTTTGAGACAGAGGTCTCACTTTGTCACCCTCAGTGCCGTGGCATTACAGCTCAAATCAAACTCCAGTTCTTGGGCTTAGGCTATTCTCTTGCATCCTGAGCAGCTGGAACTACAGGCACCTGCCACAATGCCCAGCTATTTTTTGTTGGCACTTTGGCCAGGGCCGGGTTTGAACTGCTACCCTTGGTATATGGGGCCGGCACCCTACTCACTAAGCCACAAGCACTGCCCCATAAATTATTAATATAATATTTTACCTTCCTTTTTTTTGTTCTTAGTCTTTAAAATATGGTGTACATTTTACACTTACATCATGTCTCAGTACAGGCCAGCCCCATTTCAAGTGCACAATTAGCCATATGTGGCTAGTGACTATTGTTTTTGACAGTCCAGATCTAGCCCTTGTCCCTAGAGGGATTTTTATTTTCATTTTTGGCCAATGGGAAGCATTGAAGGGTTTTTAACAAGGGAGCAAAATGATCTGATATAGCCCCACTAGAATATTCACTCCATAAGAGTAAGGACATTTTTTTTTTTTTGGTCCATTGCTGTATTCCTAGCACCTAGAACAGTGCCTGGCTTACAGTAAATATTAGTTGAGTGAGTAAATGAATGAATGAATGAATTAATACAAGATAATTAAAGCCACAGAATTTACTTTTGCAATATAGTCTTACAAATAACTATCAGTCTGAGTCCAAAAACAACTTTTATTTTTATTTGTTTGTCTTTTGAGCAGGTTATGATTAGAAGACATACATATTTCAGGTGGGCTGGTACCTTTCACAGTAATCTTTACAGGGTCTCGTAAAAGTGACTGACTCCCCGCATCTCACAGAGTGAGATGAAGCTATAATAACAATTTTTATAACTCGAGGTGTAAACAGTTCATGTTGCCATTAAAAAAAAAAAAAAGTACTAAAACATTCCCTGTAGGTTCACTCTATTTAATATGTGACTAGCTAGTAAAAAATTTGTGAAAGAGTAAGGTACTTATAAATAGCTGGATAATACTGAAGACAGAAAAACTTTTGCAACTTTTTCTAGAGGCTGTAGATTTGCTTTATTTCTGAATTCCTTCAAAAACACTGAAACTAAAATTAGAGAAGCCAGCTTGTGTTTGGTTTACAGGGACTCATGCTGTCTTCCTACTCCTCCATCTGTTGAAACAGTTTTTAGGTGCTGGCGTGGAACTAGAACATGCAAGAACCCAACTTGCCACAGTTCTAGGATAGCAAAGACCTTTACCCACAGATCTGAATGTATTTAATTTATTTTGTCTGTACAGCACACCAATTTGGGTGCTTTATGGAACACATCACAACCTGATGGCATCCAGAAACTAGCTTCCAAAGGGAGAATGGATACAATGACACTAGCAAAGAAATGTGAGATTGTTAGTATTGTTTCACTTAACTTAAAGACTATTTTCCCACTTAATGGTAGAACTGCAACCATTATCAGAGTAACTCCCATCCCAAAGATCCCAGGAATGGAGGTTGTTTGGAGGAAATAAGGTCTAAATTATGTGGTCCATCTATTTATATCAGCACATAAAAATGCTTATCTGGCTAGGTATTGTGTGATATGTAACAACGTTTACTTTCTTTTTTAGTGGCAACATCGTAGGTTATCATGTGATTGTTCCCTGTAATTCCTGCCTTCTTTCCTGCAACAACAGACACTTCTGGATGTTTCACAGCCAGGCGGTTTATGGTATTAACAGACTAGACTCCACTGGTAAGAAGCAATGGACTTAGATATTCCTATAACATTTCTCTATAAATACCAGAATGAAATTTCCCAGTAGATCATTTCAGGATTCTTTTTAGACTTTCTTAGCTGGGTTGGATCAGCTACAGTGAAACTTTAATCTTTTTTCCCCAAACAATCACCTGAAAATGATTAGGCAAAGTTCATTGTCATTTCTGTTTTCTTCTTCTTTTTTTTTTTTTTTTTTTTT